CGGCGTCCAGAATTTCACCGGGCACCAGCGCCGGCAAATAAAGGTGATTGTCGCAACCTGCTTTTTGGGCAGGATTATCCAGCTCTTTATCGTGACGGGCGCAGTGCCACTTACCGCCCGCAATAGGACTGGAGTGCAAGCAGGTGCGGCAGTTGCGCGGGGGCAAAATATTGCGATAAGGGGAGCCATGACAAAGATTTATCGCAGGGCAAAAGCGACAGGCAAAACTGTCAGGGTTTTCGCTTATTTTCGGCGGCGCATAACGCTCGGCCGTTTTTATCCGCTCTGCTTTAGCCAGCAATGCCTCTGCTTGCATTTTGTCATATTTAACGCGCTCTGCATAAAGCGCGTCATTATCCTTATTTTTGGCCAGATAAAGGGCGCGCTCAATGCCTGTGGCGTGCATATATATCTGCATTTGTGCCACATGCTCCGGTTTTGCTACAGCCACACCATGCCTTGAAAGTTGCTCAAAGCTTTTGGCATTGTGCGTTTTGCACTCCAGCACATGGCGGGCTTTGGGTGCTTCGGGCAGGCCGCCCTCAATTATGCCGTCCAGATAGCCGTGCATATGGCTATCAAGCAAATGGATTTCCCACTGTTCACCTGTTTCAGGGTTGCGGTCTTTAACTGCCACTCCAGCCTCACGCAGCCAGCCAATCAGGCGCGTTTCCTCAAGCTGCCCCGTCTCAAACAAACGCAAAATCCGGCCAGTATGACGCTCTGGCTCAACAGCCCAGCGGAATTTGTAAAACAGCGCCCGCTCGCAAGGTTGGCCAATACTGGACGGATTGATTGTGTTGGAGAGGCGCGGCTGCGCGCGCTTCTCGCAGTCTTTATCAATAGCAGAAATGATTGAAAGCGGCATTTGTGGGAGAGCGGTCATTTATGCCCCCGCAAGTGTATTTGCGTGCCATAGCCATAGCTGCCGCCAAGGGGAGCAATCAGCACATTATCGCGCACCTGCCATTTCGGCCGGCGGAAGAGGTTTGTGAAAAATTTAAGCATTACTTACCCTCCCCTCTTCAAACAAATACTCAACCCGTATACTGCCGGAATCTACCCCCCTATTGGGCGGCATGGCGACAAGAACAGTGCTGCGCGTTATCTTGGTCAGGCCCTCATAAATCTCTTCAAGCGGGGCTGCTTTTGCTTTTTTCAAGCAAATTTCAAAACGCTTTTTTGTTTTCGGATTCTCCCCGCCCGCGGCAAAATAAAACCAGCCGCCCAATATTTGGCCAAGCCTTTTTTCCGCCGCCTCTGCTGCCTTTTTAGTGAGTTTTGCGCCGAAAAAATCCGGCACTTGAAAAACACGAATCCTCATTACATCACCTCTTGCGCGCGGCGTTCAACGCGGATTGTCATCACGACAGTTTTGGGCTTGCGGAAGCTCTCCACATCAATACCGGCCTTCTCCATTGCCTTTGTATCAATGGAACCGGCGCGCTCCGACAAAGTTTGGCGGGCAATCCATTCATCGCCGCCCAGGCTATCGGCATCGCCCATTGCGGCCGAAACACCATTCTTCAACTGTTCTTCGTGGTCCTTTAAAAGCTTTATTTCTCCTCGAACTTCCGCGAGGCGGTCAACAATATGGCGGTTTGTCTCTCTTTTTGCGGGCATAGCTGTAGCGTCCATTGCTTTGTCCTTTTTTTTGAGCAATGTTAAAATTTTGGATTTTTGGGGTTATGCGCCGTTATTTAAAACGGCACATCGTCATCAGGCGGCGTTTGCTGTCGCCAAGGGCGCGTGCCTTTGGCATTTTGCGCCTGCGTTGTCTGCGCCGGCGCGGCGCGCTGCTGTGTTTGAGCAGGCGCTTGCCTTGCCGCCGGAGCGGATTGCGCCTGTTCCTGCGCTTGCTGTTGCTGTGGCGCTTGAGCGGGTGCAGCCGTGGGCTGGCCGGCCAGCGGTTTTACTGTTTTCACTTCGTTGCTCGGCTCATATTGCCCGGTTTTATCGTGCCGAATTTTGACTGACAGGAGACAGGGAATGAAAAGCAGCTCATCTGTATCAACCGGATTCAGCTTGCCGGTAGCCCCCCGAATAGCCGCAAACTGGCTATTGGCAATTTCCGCCACTCTGTCAGAATTATTCATGCTCTGGTTTGGCCAAAGCGACAGGCGCTGCCAGACAAGGCGATTCTCATACTCGCCATCTGTAATCTGCCATGTCATTTTCAAGCATTTGCCGTAATCATTACGGCTGGAAATCTCTTCAATATCCGCCTCAATAATCTGGGCCGGATAATCACCAATGGGCAAAAGCTCAAAACTGGTTGACACTTCGGCATTTTCATCGTATAGACCAGCGATATTAGCCATACTTAGGATTCCTTTTTGCTTGCCACAGCCTGCGCCGGCGCGGCGGGTAAGAATTTAGCCAAAGCCTCATAGCCCTTGCCCTTTTCATAGCGAATATCGGCTGGCATATTATAGCGGTTTTTGGCGGTGAAAGCCGGGCGGCCCTGGGTATACATCAGCACAACCGAATTGCCTTTGGCGATTGTTCGCTCTTTTTTGAAACCCTTGTCTTCCGTTTGAATATTCACGGGCTGCTTGAGCAGCAGAATGGCGTCCATTTCCCGCTCAATTACTCCGACTGAACCTTTATGCAGGTCAATCTGGTAGCGGTCATAAGAGACTGTTTCCGGGTCATCAAAGCGCTGAACAGCGGAATGGGCGATAAGGATAATGGTCATGCCCTTATCATTGCGCAGCACATTGCAGGCGCGGATAAATCTTTGCCAAATATAGCTTGCATAGACATAACCTTTCCCATAACCGAAATCCTCAATAGACTGGCGTTCGCCCTTTTCATCTCCCTGTTTGCAAGTCTCTTCAAAAATCAGCTTTTGCAACTCTGAAACACTATCCACAACCACTGTTTTATAGCCGTGCCGATCGCGATAAAGGGCGCGCAATGCGTCCATTACATCGGCAAAACTGTCCAGCTTGCCAAAACTGGTCAACTCCACATCGCCCGGCGTGCCGTCCTCAATCTGCAAAAACACAGGGGCGGGAAATTCGCTAGCCAAGGTGGTTTTACCAATTCCGGGCGGGCCGTAAATCAAAATGCGTGGCGGCTTGTCCGCCCGCACAGATTTTAAATCAGAAAGGCTCAAAGCCATTTCACATCTCCTTTGGCGCGTCAATGAACCACCCGCCGCATGCGCCGGATTGTGAGGGGTGGAATTGCAGGGCAACAGCCCCTGTGGGTAGAAAGGTGAGATGAGCCAACCCATTGGCAGGGGGGAGCCAGCTAAAGGCAAATGCCGTAATGCAGCTGTCATCATCAATAATGCCGGCCTTAACAGTAATATCCAGCATTGCCTTCAGCCGGTTATCAATATCTGCCCGGCCACTCATACGCTCCACGCCGGCAATGCAAATCACATCGCCCCTGATGGACTGCACATTCTGGTCGCGTATCGCAACCAGCCCGCGCTGGATAAAATCCTTGTAAACCAGCGTTTTTACGCGCCCCATACCTTTTACATTTTTAAACAGGGCGTTAGTGGAAGGAGGAGTGGGCAAAGTGAAATGCACCCCTTCATTATTAGGCGCGGAGAATCTGTCTATTGCTGCCATTCCTTTCATCTTATTTCTCCATTGTCTTTTTCTTCTAAAAAACGCATCACGCTTTCGTATTTTCGGAGCGTGATTGTTTTCCCTGCTTTTAGCCGAGAGAAAAAACGAGAATCCCTCGCGCACTTAAAACCTACAGTTGTCAGCGCGACCTTGTGTTCCCGCTTATATTTTTCGGCTGCCATGAAAAGGCGGCTTATCATCTCTTTTTCCATATTTTTTAGTATGTCGGATTATTCCGACATTGTCAATAGTTGATTTCCGACTTGCTAAAAAAAGGATAAATCCGATAATGGGCCATGAAAAAAATGCGAGAAATTATAGAGAATAGGCTAAGAGAGCTTGGAATAAGCGCCATTACGGCGGCAGTTCGGGCTGGCCTTGAGCGTAATTATATTAATGATTTTTTGACCGGGCGTAAAAGACGATTCAATTCTGACGGATTAGAAAAGCTGGCCGCAGCTTTGCACTGCAGCCAGCAAGATTTTATCGAATCTTCATCTATTGAAGGGGGTAAATCTTTTACTCCTTCTCAACGCAAGCTTTTGACTGTTGTTCGCGACTTGACGGACGAACAGGCCGTTGCTCTCCTGCCTGTTGTTCAAGCGTTGCGTGAACAACAGCTAAAATCTGCGCGGCGTCACGCTCAGAAGAAAGAGAAGAAATAATATGTATCAATTCGCGTTTACTGTCAGTCATGGCAGTCTCCTTTATTTTAGTTAAAGAAAAACGCGTTTTTCGCAATAAGCATATAGCTTATAGCGATGCGCAGGGTGCTATCTTTGTCGCAGTCAATGAGAAAGTTAAATTATGGTTAATGAATGAGGATAAAATGCGCGCTTTAATATTTGTTTTGTCTTTTTCTGCATGCTTAGTCGGCTGTATGAGTTCGGGAAAAGATTTAGCAGTAATATCAACATCATCAGAACTATCGTATCAAGAATTCCAAGCGCGAAAATCGCGCATAGCCGCCGAGTGCCGTCAAGCGGGAACTCCAAAGTCAGAAATACAAGCATGTATTGCGCACAATATTAAAGCGGGCGATAGTCTCATTTCTGCAGCGCGTCAATCCCGCCAAAATTCCTTAATTGCTATAGATAAGATGTCAAAAGATTTGCAAAAGCCTATTTTGCCAGCTCCGGCTTCCGTAGCCCCCGCAACAACAAATTGTTGGAACACAGCCATGGGAATCACCTGCCAAAGTTTTTAATAAAAAATTTCAGCTTATCGCTATTTTTAATTAGCCCGCTTTTGCGGGCCTTTTTTTTGTGTTTATCTGTGCCCATCAATCAAACAAATGGAAATATACTATTATTTATGTTGACAACATCGGATAAATCCGATACTTATAAAAATACCCCACAACGCGAGACGGGCAACCTGACCTTGTGATGAAGATGTAGGATAGACTTTTAAGCCTGAATAGCTCAGTTGGTAGAGCGGTGGACTGAAAATCCATGCGCGCCGGTTCAATTCCGGCTTCAGGCACCAGAAATTTCCGCGTAAGCGGATACGAAGTAGGCCGGTTCGAGTCCGGCAGCGATTAGAGGTGCGCACCTCGTTTAAATCGCTTGAACCAGCATCGGGTGAAAAGCTGGGCGCTGGCTACGGCGTAAATAGTAGCGGGCTTGCGGGCGCTGCCCTTCTGGATTGGACAAAGAAGATGCCCCCGTGGTGTGTGATGGCCACATCTAACAGAGATTTAAAATGACAGAATGGAAAGAATATTACCACACTCATGACGCTGACGCCCCGTTCGGAGAAGCGCTCGAGGAACTGCTTTATTACCTTAATGCCGAAGCGATAGGCTGGGGGCCTGTGCCAGAACAGGTTAAAAAATTTGATGAATGGAGCGTAAAATGACCACACTTACCCTTATTTACACCGCCGATAGCGCGGGCAATTTCACCGACCCCGCAACCGGCAAGCGCTGGGACATGCCAGAAAACGATAAATTTTTCCGCGATACGATTGCCGGTAGGAGCATTATTTGCGGGCGGAAGGCAGCGGAGGAATGCGGGGAAAATTTCACAATGGCCGAGCATTGCACTGTTTTGACTACTGACCACGATTTTTTCCAATCGGAAGAGGCGCTGCCTATTTTTGAGGCTTTCAAAAAAAGCAGGCCCCCAGTGGAGCAGGCAACGCGGAGGGCTGTTGCCATGGGGCGGTTGTATGTTGACGGGGTAATAAGTGACGAAAACAAGCGCACAGCAATATCATGCGACCTTATACAAGCTGATGATGTATTGGAAGCCTTGCAAATGGCAAAACACAATAAAGCAGGGAGATTTACGGAAATCTTCTGCGTTGGCGGGAAACAGACCATAGAGGCGTTTGCGCCTTTTGCAAGCCGGATATTGCTCACTTATATCGGGAATGGGTTTGCCTATATCCCTGCGGCCATTTCTGCTGAAATTGGTATATTGCCGATAGACAATTCAGAGGAAGATAAACTTTCTCCTTACCAAAAAGCCACGCTGTGGGGCAAGATGTGCGGGGCAAACAGCTCAAGCGTGGCTGGCATGTTCCCATTCATAAATTTTTTTTCGCGATGGTGCGGGGGGCCAGAAGGAAAATGGGCTCGCTTGGATTTGCGCCGTAATTTGCCGATTGAATTTTAGGAGTAGGAAATGCGCTGCACGAAAGAGAATGGCAATGTATGGTTGGACGGGGCAGATATGTGGCAGGCGCGGAGGGCGCTGCTCAAAAGCATTATGGCGGACGCAAGATGGACAGCATGCGATTTGAGCTTATCACCCCAAAGCGCATACATGAAAATAATGCACCTTCTGGTCGATAAGGCATGGTGCGCATGTGTGGCCAAAAGCGAACAAGAATTCGTTGCTCTCTGGCAGACAATAGAGATGGAAACCAGAAAGCGCTGGAGTTGGCGCGGGAATTATAAGCGGAAGCCGAAAAATTGGGATATTTGGGAAGACGCGCATCGGCTTGCATGATTTTTATCAACAATCCGCTAACATGCGGCTCTTTGCTCCAAAAATGGCTGGAGAGTAAGAAAGTAGAGAAATGAGAGTAATGACGCGTAAAGAAAAACGGCAAGAGCGTGAGCAGAAAGCCTGGCTGCGCTATTACAAGCCGCTGGAAAAGAATTTTCCGCCTCTCTATGTAATTTGCTTATGCGCCAAAGGCGGCGGGTATATTTTTGTGATAAAAGTCCGTGAATCAGGTGGGTATATGGGCGAATGCGGCATTGCCCTGTCTTTTCGCCGTTTCTGCGAAGCAAAGCGCGTCTGTGATAACATTCTAAACAAAATGGAGAAAGCATATGCCTAGGGCAAAAATGCTTTTCACTAAAAAAGAATTGGAGCGCCTGCGCGAACACGCCAAAGAAAACGGCGCCGGTGCTTATTCAGTTATTAAGCACCCCAATAGGGCTATTGAATTTCGCTTCATTATGTGCCTTCCAGCCGAGGCAGAAAGAATCATTGCAAGCGAGGGGAGAATCGCTGAAAGAAAGCCGCGTTCGTTAATATAAGGAGAACGCGCATGAAAATAAGGCGAAGACAAATGCAACTTCTGCACCTTCAATCGGAAAAGACGCGACATGGTAAAATTGTTTACTATGTGAGGATAAAGCCTTTTCCGCGCATACGCATAAAAGGGCAACCGTTTGGCGAAGAATTCAAGCAAAATTACCGCACTGCGCTTAATAATATTGAACCTCATGTAAAGCAAAAGCGCCGCGCTTTGCATAAAGAAGGCAGCCTTGGTTGGTTGGTAGCGCAATTCACATCTTCCGCGCACTGGCTCCGATACGCAAAAACTACCCAAAAACATATGACGGGCACATTTAATCATTTGCTCGATTCCGCCTGCGATGTAGATTTTCGCAGCATAACCCGGCGCGACATTATAATGACGCGAGATAGCAAAGCCGACCAACCGGGGGCTGCTGGGCATTATATGCGCGCTCTTTCTGCTGTTTTTAAATTCGCCCTTGATATGGAATATGTGGACAGCAATCCGGTTCAGGGGGTAAAAAATCTCCCCTTGAGCGGGGGCGGTCATAAGCCCTGGACACTCAACGAAGTGAAAGCGTATCAAGCGCATTGGCTAGCTGGCACGAAAGAGAGGGTATGGTTTGATGTCTTGCTTTATACAGGATTGCGCTGCTCTGATGCCGTTCGCCTGGGTGACCAGCATATAAAGGGGCGTTTTATTAAGATAAAAACCCAGAAAAGCCGCAAAAAAGTTGAAGTTTGCTTACCTTTCTTCCCAGAGTTGGCCGTAAGTCTGCAAGAGGGGAAAGTGGGGGAGAGCGTTTTTATTTGCGGCAATTTCGGCCGAGCTCTAAAAGCAGGAACCTTTTCAATCCGGTTCAGTAAAGCCGCCCAAGCCGCTGGCGTTTTTAAAACAGCTCATGGACTACGCAAATATTTTGCAACAAGGCTGATAGAAGCCGGTGCAACCAATGCGCAAGCCAAAACAACAATGGGCTGGACGAAAGACGAACAAATCAACAATTATACGCGAGAGGCCAATAAGGAAATATTAGCAGATGAAGTGGCCGGAAGAGCGCTTTTACTGACAGGAAATGGTTGAGCGCTTCCCGCACCGATTTTCGCCTTTCCCGCACCTTAAAAAATATATAATAAAAACAATATATTATAAGCACTATTTTTACAGTATTAAGTTGCGGCTTGACTGTATAATTTATGTAAAAACAAGAGCTTATAAAAAGGTGCGGGACTAAAAGGGCGTATTGATATTTAAAGGGAAACAGAAACACTTCCCTTACCTTGGAGGAAGAAAATGAAAGTAACAATAGATGACTTAACTGGTAATAAGGATTACCAAAAAGACATTATTGATGCCTGCAAAAAGATGAAAGATTTTGCCGTCAGGTTGCAAAAATCCCCGCTTGAACAGTTGGATTGCCGCACACAATCGGCGAAAGTGTCTATCTCCTCGTTTGATTATAGTTCATCTGTCACTATGTGCGTGAATTTCCCTGACCATAAGACTCCGAACAACACAACCGGGCTGCGTTTCTTTTTTAAAATATATATGGGAGAACCAGATACTATCTGGGTAGGCGGCCCAGAAGAATTTTGGATTTTGGAGATTCCGAAATGATATACACGCCCTTTGTTTACACGCGGCGGCTGCTTTTGGTAAACAAGTGGATTTGTGTGCGTTTGAGGGTGGACAAAGCTTGCGCCACCTGCTACAGTGAGCGGGACATCAGAGGCAGAAAATGTCGCTCCCTTCACGGGAGCGTGGATAGAAACTGCGACAATGCTGCCTGACCACCCACCTTCTGCGTGCAGGAGGCTCCCCGGTTCGTAAAGAGCCGGGGCTTTTTTTTTGCGCAAATACGCTTGCGCTATTTCTGCTTATATATTAGCCTTTGGGCGCCATCTCAAATAGCAGGGGAATCAGTATGTTAGACGATAATAATAGCCCGCAGGGCGCCACCCCCAAGCAAGGCGTTCTTGATTTGGGAATTGAAATCCAAAAAGATGTGAATGGCATAGAAATGGGCGTCCTGGAAAACGGAATCCCCTATCTCACGCAGCGAGGGCTTACGGAAATAACAGGCATAGCCCGCAAGAAAATCTATGATATTACCCAAGAATGGGAAGCACATTTTGACGATGAAATTTTAACAAAAGACCGCTTATCGTTCATCAAAGAATACCTTTTCCAGAACGGATATAGAGAACGCAAATTATATATTGAAACTAAAAAAGATGGCACTTCACATTACGCCTATCCTGACATGGTGTGTATGGCTATTCTGGAATATTATGCTTTTGAAACAAAAAATAAGAGCGAAAAAGCGCTTAGCAATTACAGAAAGCTTGCCGCTTATGGGCTGCAAAAATTCATTTACGAGGCTCTGGGGTATGCGCCTATTGACAGATGGCGTTATTATCATGACAGGGTATCTATTTTAAAGGGTAGCGTTCCTGAAGGGCTTTTTATCGTATTCCATGAAGTAACAGGTCTCATTGTGGATTTAATAACCGCTAATTTGGCGGTAAATGATAAGACTATCCCGGATATTAGCGTTGGAAAATGCTGGGGCGATTTCTGGGTAGCCAATGGTTTGGACAAAAAGTATGGGGAAAGGCAAAAATACGAGCATAATTACCCTTCTTATTATCCCCAAGCCAAAAGCAATCCTCAATCGCCGTGGGCTTATCCCGAAAAAGCGCTTCCTGCGTTTAGGCGCTGGTTTCGAAATGAATATTTGATAACTAAATTTCCCAAATATATTTTATCAAAAGCTAAACTTTTGGGCGGCCGTGAAAAATCACAGCAAATCGCTGAATTATATCTTCCGAAGCCGTAAATCTAACTTTCATTTCTGAAAGCAGAAGCCGCCCAACTAACGAAAGGCGGCTTTTTTGTTAGTTAAACCAATTTGCATTTTTTGCAAAATGCCCCGCCCACAAGGGGCGAGGTCTTAATCGCCGATGACGCGTGGCCAATACGCGCTAGAGCGGCTCTCACACCCA